GATAAATTCAAGAGCAATTGAAAAAAGAACAGAAAATACCGTTGAAGGAGTTTAAATCTGAGTTTTCGACTCCAAGGATTTTTTAAATTTTAGCGTAACAGTAGAATTACGTATTGATGCAAATTTCCAGAGGAATTTTCTGCAAACACCATCACATTACCGAACTGTCTTCTTTGAGAACACACGAAATACGAGCTAGTTGAAAACTCCAGTGTATTTCGCTTGGCTATAATGAGTTTTTCACATTATCCGTTGGAACTTCCAAGCACCAAACTTCGGCAGTTTTCTCGTTTGATTAATAATGGAGATACGGCGATGACTTTCTGGATAAAGTAGGCATCTTTTTAATTTACTGTTTGTTGAATACCCTGAAACGACCATTGCAGGTCAAGGTTCAGAGAAGGTTCCAGAGCTATGGGAAAATGAAGCGGTTGCTATTGTATTGTCTCGATTTTGAACACCCTATATCTCTGTAATCATTCCCGCTAAACCCCAAGTGTGATACATTGATGAAATCAGCTCTTCAGGAAGAATCTAAAAATACAATAAAATACAGGGTGTTCCATTTAAAAAAATCAATTAGTACTCTGTAGATCGTCTGTTCAGAGCACCCTGCAACGGGAAAAAAATTTCTGAAAAATCATTTTAGATTATCTTTCAAATTTTTAAAATGGTTCAAAAATAAGTGAGCTAGAGGGGGGGACATTTATGGTGAATCACCCTGTACAGGCTGATTCACGGTGGATGGCAAATTAGACGTTTCTGGAGAACGCAACTCAGGATTATTATGAAAAATTGGTGCCTTGGATAATTAGTTGTGTTCTATCGACCTAAAATATTCTCAGTGTTGCGACGTTGCCGCTTATATTGAAAAGTAGCAACAACTTTCATTTTCTGAATGGGACACCCTGTATATTATTCCATTTTCAGATTCTCCCTGAAGAGCTGATTTCATCGATCTATCACACTTGGGGTCTAGCGGAAATGATAACAAAGATATAGGGTGGGAAAAATCGAGATTTTTCAACTCAAAAATTTTTTTGTGTCGAAACTATTCATCATTGGTCAAAACGGTTTCCATGTCCCTATCTTAACTTTTTATGTACTATAAATTGATATTCAAGTGAAATAGATACAGGGTGGTCAACAATATTAATTCTGAACCACCCTGTATTTATTTCAATTAGCGATTGAAGTATTCACTTGAATGAAATTGAATTTATTGTTTTTTCACGAAATTTGCATTATATAACTATAAATTTATTATAGGATAGATTAGTGACTAGTTATGAATATAATAGCGTGTAACTAAAATTTATTACTGAGCATTTCTGTAATTGGGATGTTAATTCATCCTGTTGAAGTGCCTTGAACATAAAGAAATAAATAGGGACCGATTACGAATAGTTTAGACACAAAAAATACCTAAAATTGAGAAATCTCGATTTTTCACATCCTATAACTCTGTATTTATTACTGCTAGACCCCAAGTGTTATGGGTCAATAGAATCAGCTCCTTAGGAAGAATCTGAAAATGGAATAATATACAGGGTGTCCTATTTAAAAAATCAAAGTTGTTGCTACTTTTCAATATAAGCGGCAACGTCGCAACACTGAGAATATTTTAGGTCGATAGAACACAACTAATTATTCACGGCACCAACTTTTCAGAATAAGTTGGTGCCAGAAACGTCTAATGTGCCATCCACCGTGAATCAGCCTCTGTATATTCTTATGCATAATTATCGAAACCTTTATTTTGTCTTAATTTTTAAAGTTCGGTGAAATTGGATGGATTAGAATTGAGATTTATTTTTCAAAAATATAGGTGAATATCGAGTTGGTCTTGTTTATACAATAAAAGTCCCAATTTTTATTTGGTTTTCAGTTTCAGTCGGTTGAAAATTATCACGAATTTACTTCACATTCTACACTTGGTGGCCTAATATACGTATTGATAATCAATACGGATAATCTCTATCTGTTTCCATAGCGAAACATGAAGCCGATTTTTGTAGACAAATGACTATCCATAAGGAAAAGTTTTGAAACGATCAGACACATACTGCTTTGATTGAAAGGCTAGTAAACGTCATTGTCCACCGAAACGCATGTCTTTGATGACTACTATAATAGCGCATGGCGCATGCGTATCATGCCACCAAATCCTTATGGATATTCATTTGTTTCATATTTTTGGCTTCATCCGTATTGTTTATTAATACGTATATGGTTGGCCTAGTTCAATTTCGAGAGGTGGTATATCTTTCATTATGCACGTGCATAAAAAAATACTGCAAATAAATGGAATACTGGTTTTATGTCAACACATGACAACAATGCTTTTTCTTCTAGTATTCAATAGTATATTGTTTCATTAGGATCAAAAGTGGCACTTTGTTTGACAAGCGAATTTTTCATTCGATGCGAGGCGGAGCGTCTAGCGAAGCCGAACGAAAGCAAAATTTGCGAGTCAAACAAACTCACTTTGGATCCGAATGAAACATGTTATTTTTTCTGCAACCGAAAGATTTAACTAAAATAAATATGTGGAGTAACCACCAATGCCGTGCCATGATATGTGTGCAATGCATGTGCATATCAGGTTTATTCAATTTTCAAGGATGTTCGAATTGTAGTTTCAATATAAATACAGAGTGATCCATATGTGTATGGACCAGGTGTCAGCCCTAATAGCAAATACCAGAGCCTGGTCATCGAACAACAAGTCTGAAAGTTGTTTTTTGATGGCCAGGTATAGGAAGAATACGTGGAAAATGTTAGGTTAGTGAGTATAGTGTGCTCACCGGCCTCGGTGATTTGACTCAGTAGCAGAAAAAAGTCGACGTTATAGAAACAAGGAAGAAGAAGAAGAACAATGATAATGGCGATTATTTATTTCTCTCCATACTCCAGTATGTTTGGCTCGGTAATCAATAAAAGTTAAACAAAATCGTTGTGTGAGACAAAAAACTATTGCTGGCCGTGATTATTCAAAAACAAGTTATGCATCCCGAGAATAACGAATGAAATACAGATCGAGCAAGTATGTGAATCTTGAAGGCTTTCCTGATCAAAACAAAAATACTCAACCATAATATGGTGTATTTATATCTTCAGCATGGGTGTGAAATGCCAAATCTGCTGAAATCGAAAACAAATTTGGTATGCGTCCCAACCCAAATAATCAACCGTAACTATGTTGTTTATCCTTGATGACCTCTATAGTACATCCTTTTTAGTTCCTAGGAACTAAAGTTCAAATTCAGCTCCTAGGAACTGAAAGTGTTGCCTAGAAACATACCGATGTTTGTGTCAGTAATAGAAACGTCAATTTAAGAGCTAATTTTGGTATTAAAATGGACGACTTTTGGGTCGGTTGCAGAAAAAAGTAATTTAGTGCATTACTGACATTTTCAGAATATACCAGTGGCGTGCTAATCGTTCCTAGAAATTGGATATCTAATATCTGTATCAAGCCATATGGATTTCTGATGGGCTCACATACAGAGGATTCAGAGGAAGTATGCCAAGTTTGAAAAATATCACGCCCTATTTCCTCAGATAAGGAATAATGAAACATTATTTTTGATCATTTTACGAGTTATTGCTATCACCTCTCGAAATTGATGTTCAAAAATCTGTACCACCCAGTGTATGATTTTAATTTTCGGTTTTACCCAGCTAGGATATCCAGGCTCATAACTGAAATAATGATATGAGATATCCAGTCAAATTATGAAATATATATATATAGAATATGAAACAAATTATACTCAAGATTGGCAGTTAGTTTACAATAGAGTCAATTTTTTGTCTAGGTTACATCGAAAATACACTTTCTTTTTTGATAATATGCTATTAGACTGACTGAAGATATTTCTTAAAATTAACCTAGAAGTAGTACTGAGTACCATCAGCTTCAAGCAATGATGATTGAAAACCCACTGACAATTTGACATAACTGAGATGTTTCGCCCAAACTTGACGACAATAAAACAGTTGAAATTCGCAATATAAGGTTCTTGTTACATCTGATTCTAATAGATGTCACTGTACGAATTCTCTTTGAAATTAATTTTCCGAAGAAATTATCCAAATTAGAATTTAACTAATTATTGACTTCAATACCATTACAGAAGCATTTTCATTGAAGCTAATGATACGCAATCCATTCGCACATAATATCCTAATGGCCATCGTTATTGCTCATATTTCGTCGTCATTGAGTCGAATCAATTAAGACACATAAACCTACTGTTGAGACATTTTTTTTTTTTCAAAATTCAACTAAACCATCATCTCTAGTCCGTTTGTTTGTCGACAGGACACATATAAGTCGCAGCCATTCTAGATGATTTCAAACAACCATGACTTTTGGTATGGAGACAATTTTAAACCAATCAGTGCGATTCTAGCAATGGCGGTTGATTCGAATCTTTGTATTACCAGGACAAGTCTCATTTCAATTTTGCTGAATGAATATACCGGACTGATGTACTTTTTACGGACACCCAGTATAAGTAGTGAATAAATTGATTGCTTTTGTCAATATAATCGAGAATAGTTAAATCGATGTGCTGGAGGTGAATAAAGGACTCTGAGTAAACGTACTTGGTTCAAACCTGGCCACTGCAATTCTTTCATTTTCCTTCAAGTGATTTTTTTAAATAATTGCTATGGATGCCGATAGTGATTTATACACAACTCGTAATTCCGTAATTTCATGAAATGCCAGGAAATTCAAAATATCAACTGAAACGTGGATAAACAGTTAACCTGTCACACTCCGTGATATCATTCTTCCTCTTCATGAAATATGTTAGTTTTTAATTTTCAATATATGAATGTTGAGCAAGGACACAGATACAGATACAGATTCGCATTCACCGGCAAGACTGGAACCGTTCTGATTGCTTTAAAAATGCGTCCGTACCCGAAGTCATGGTTGTTTGAATTGTTGCATCCAAGAATCGCGACGTTGTCGAACCTCCCACAACGTTGCCCCATCTTCCGCGACGTTGCCGGATCTCCCACGACGTTGCCACATCTACCGCGACGTTGCCGCCTCTGTCGTTTTCTCGTCAGATCCTAGAAATCGGTGTCGTCAGCTTGGTCCCGAGCTCAACCGTTCGCTTTTCTTCTTCTTCTCGCTGTTATATCTTGGTGGATTTGTCCCATTCGTCTTCTGGACGCTAGTCGCTGTCCGTCGGCGAGGGGCAAGGTAGGGGTCGATCGGGGTGCACGTAGGGTTGTTGTTGTTGTTGGTAGGCCTGGACGTAGGGTAGGGTGCCGTTGTCGGTGAGGGGGTCGGTGACGGGTGACCAGGGACTCAAATCGGAGTCTCCCTGCAAAAGAATTTGTTGCATTATCGAATTATTCATTTGTGTTTGGTTTTGTCAAATTTGTATTGAATCAATCATATATTATATGATGAGTATATTATTATTTCAAAGAAGCAACTTGCAATGTTTTAAATCAAGGGTGTATTTTTATTGAATCAGTCGTATGATATCAATTTGGTAAACAAATATTTTGTTATATTTCAAACACAAATCAATTAGAACAAAAAAATGCTTTGTCGATAGAACTCTCTTAGCCATCTGAAATAGGCTTGCATCAGCTAAAGCTGGTTATCCTAGTTTGTTCAATCAATTATGGGAAACTTTCATTTTATGATAGAACTGCGGAAACAACATTGAATATTGTTGCAATCAAACAATTTGTCGAATTTTAGAATAAAACAACAAATCAAAACTAAATCGCTTCCCTCCTAAGGTATGTAAGTCAATGTTTATACAGTAACTCTTTCCTGTAGGAAAATCAAGGTGAAGAATTGATTTGGTTTTAACATTTTATTTTTTGATGTATTTTCAATCGTTTATTGAAAATTCCTTTCCTCTCAATGTATGTTCGTCAATGTTTATTCAGCCATCCTACAAAAAATATTAAGAATCGATTGGTTTGAAAATTTGATTTTCTGAAGTATTTGCAATTGTTTTTTGAATTGCTTATATCTCAAGGTATGTAAGTCATTGTGATCATTGATAATGTATTTCAGCAATCATTCATACACTCAAGCTCTCCCAGCTTAATATTCAACGAACTATAAATGTGCTGGACATTACAGCTACATCTTCAACTCCATTAATGCAGTAGTCTGCTGAACATTAGCTACACCAACTGTATCTGAACCTATCAGCAAACATTAAATTCAAGTACCGTTCACTTCTCGTACCTTTACAGGTTTAACTCCTTTGTATAGTAGTCAGTTGAACATTAGCTTCTACAAACGAACTCAACCATCAAATAGATAGAAGTTGTATTAGTTAAATATAAGCTCCAATGAATCGGTTGAGTAATTCATTAACTGAATGATAGCTCCAAAAATAACTACGTTTTATTGATTGAACCCCTGGACCTTTTTAGCAAACATTAGCTCTGAGTTTCGTTCACTTCAATAGTCAGCTAAACTTTAGCTTCATCAAAATGAGCCCAATTATAAAACGTACGGAAGTTTTGTTAGCCAAATATCAGCTCCATTGAATCTATTGAGTCTACTATTAACTAATTGATAGCTTCAAAAACAACTAGTTTCATTGATCGAACCCGTGGATTGAACATAAGGCGAAACAAACATCAGCTATAATTGTTCACATGCCTCGTTACGCACACCACTTACATATAATATTTAATTACCATAGAGCTATCTGGGTGGGCGGGCGTCGGTAGCACGATGGGCAGCGGGGGCGGCGGCTTGAGCATCGAGACGTCAGTGGCGCGGGGCGGAGCGGGCGGGGGTGGCACGTGGAGCTGGCCGCCCATGCCTCCCGTCCCCAGCCACTCGGGTATCCAGCCGCAGCATAGGTCAAGGGTGGCCTTGCGCAAGCCGCGGTGCAGCACGAGGAACAGCGTCGGGTTGACTATGGCGTGCACGTACGATATGTGGAGGGTGATCTGGAAAAAATGTGGCGGGGGTTGGTATCAACTTTGAGATGGGGGGAAGTTAGAGGGATCATGTGACACCTCGTTTGAAAGGTATTTCGATTCTCTATTTGATGGTGGTATTGAAAGTACAAATTCATCAAGTGACAGTTCATATTATTTCGATATTCTTGTTTAAAATAATTCGAAAAATCAATATATCGATCGATATTTTTGTACTACGTCGGGTTGACTATGGCGTGCACGTACGATATGTGGAGGGTGATCTGGAAAAAGTGGGGGGGAGTGGTTATCAACTTTGAGATGGGGAAAGTTAGAGGGGTCGTGTGACACCTCGTTTGATAGGTTTTTCGATTCTCTATTTGATGGTGGTGTTCAAATTACAAATGTATCAAGTGAAAGTTCATATTATTCCGATATTCTTGTTTTAAATGTTTCGAAAAACCAATATATCGATCGATATGTTTGTTCTACGTCGGGTTGACTATGGCGTGCACGTACGATATGTGGAGGGTGATCTGGAAAAAATGGGGCGGGTGGGTATCAACTTTGAGATGGAGGGAAGTTAGAAGGGTCATGTGCCACCTTGTTTGAAAGGTATTTCGATTCTCTATTTGATGGTGGTATTGAAAGTACAAATTCATCAAGTGAAAGTTCATATTATTTGGATATTCTTGTTTCGAATGTTTTGAATAACCATTATATCGATTGATATGTCTGTAGTACGTCGTGTTGACTATGGCGTGCAGATACAATTTGTGAAGGGTGATCTAAAAACATTGAGGCGGGGGCGTCTTCAACTTAGTGATGGGAAAAGTTAAAGGGGTCATGTAAAATCTTATTTAAAAGGTATTTCAATTCTCTATTCGATGGTGGTATTGAAATTATTCGAACACAGTAAAGGTTATGACGAAGTTTTGTAAATTCATTAGTAGATCTCAAAGAGATGTTTGTTAAAAAAATACAAAAACTGCTAAGTGGACAATTAAGATATTCTTCGAGTATTGGTAGATCCCACTTAGATGATTTTTTTCATTACATGAAAACTGCTGAGTGGAGAATAATAACAATCCTCAGGTTGGCTCGAATCGCACGAAAATTGTTGAATTCAGAGATTTAATTCCCAATATATCTAATCTAAAATATTTCGAAAAAACATTGGGGCGGGGGTGGGGATCAACTTTGAGATTTTGGTAAGATAAAGGCGTCGTGTGACATCTCGTTTGAAAGGTATTGCGATTATCTATTCAATGACTATATTCTCATCACATCTGTATGTCTCAGTTGGAAAAATGATGATAGAAACTGTGAATTGACGACAATTTGGTCACTATACAGAAATGAGTTATTGCTTTCATTTTAAATCTTGTAATATTCGAGTTTTTCATTACTGACTAAAGTTTCAAGAATAAAAGAATCAACATATTGATAAATATTTGTTCCAATCAGTCTGGAATTTATTTGCATAAAAAGCGCCTGTACGTGTCACCCATTCATCTTTTATTCGTGGACTTCGTCTGAAGAGTTCCCAAATGTTCCATTATTAATTCAAATTAATGCCGTGTTCCCAAGTTATATGCGTCTCTTGAAACAAAGTTATATTATGGAATGTAGATGAAGCAGATCTGAAGGAGGCTCAGGTTTACCGTCTAGGAGTAGAAACTCCATTTGATTTGCATTTAATAATCTCAGTGATCCGTATGAAGGGCTTTCTTGTCCTATTAGGATTGGTTGGTGTAATATGCGACATTCATTAGTTTAGAGATTGTCTCCATTTCATAATTAGTGAAATGTATTTTCCAGGTGTTTTTATAAGTATATGTATATACGTCATATTGAACTTCGACGTTAAAAATATGGTCATTTATTTCGGTGTAGTATATTGGTCCATTCTATCTTGGTTGGAACTGACTGGTTTCTCGGATGTTATTGAAGATATAACCTTGCATATTTCACGTTAATGTCCTGCTTTTTGTGAATATCAAGATGACCTAAGCATATTCTGCATAACTGGTTTCCGTTCATGGAATACAGGGCATATTTTCATCACATAAATGCGAATTCTCAATGTATTTCTTTATATGTACAATATCCATTTTTTTGTGTTCATAAATATATCTGAGAATATTCCTTCTCAATACTTTCACCCAATCGAGAGGATCAAACTTGAACGATGGAAACTTGTTATTTTTATAGACCTCGATCGCAGATTCGTGATTAGGTTTTCTCAATTCAGAATTTCTTTTCACGTCTTGTATGATGAATATCAATTCCTCATACATCCAAAAACTCCTCAGGAAACATTGGATCAGTTTTACGATATTCCCAGCTTCAACGCCCTGTATCTCGAGAACTGAACACTTGAAGACCGTATGTCCCTATCTCAGTGATTATGAACTTACGAGGGCTATCACCTGTCAAGCGTTGTCGGTCGAACACCCTGTATAGTTCCATCTTTATTCGAGAGATTCACGAAGTGGGCGACATTTATAGTCCAGCCAAAAAACCTCGAAAAATGATCCAACCTCCGAAAAAATCCGAAAGTTTTGAAACTTTGTACATTGATTTATAGGTACCTATGGATGAATATACCAAAAGTCCTCATGAATATGATGCGAGCTCTAGCGGCAATTAGCGGAAACAGGGCACTTTTTTGGTTTTTCGTTAATATCTCGAGAACCGTTGGTCGGAGGTGGAGGTTAATCATATACATAATTAAAGCTTATTAAATTCGCAACAAAAATGATGCTCTACACTTTTCTTGTACTTCTGATGGTTACCTAGTTATAGGGCGCTAAAGAAAGCGTTTTTTACAAATTCACACTGGCGCTGGTATAATATGGAATTTCTAATAAATTTTGACAATGGTTCACCAATTTCTCTGAGGATTGAGGAGATAAACTTCACAGTTCGTTCAAAAAGAGAGACATGGTGTATATTAACAAGTGAAATACAAGAACATTCCTCATTACTACCCTTAACAGCCATGGTGTTGAAGCAGAACAAGCATCCAGTGATGTTGATACATTGATCGTCCGAACAGCACTCGTGAAATCCTTCACTTGTGACAAAGTAGCAATAGTCGGTGAAGATGTAGATCTTATCATTCTCCTCATGGCCTTAACCCCGACTGAACAAAACATATTATTTGTGAAACCGAGCCATGGCAAAGTAGGAAGGAAAGTATATTCAAGCCAGCAATTGCAAACTTTGGGAATGAAGAACTGCATACTTCTTGTGCATGCGATCAGCGGATGCGATACGACTTTGGCTGCTTATCGAAAAGGGAAACTTTCCTGTTTCAAATTGTTCAAGAAGCAAGCTGTACTGCAAGGTATTGCTATTGTTTACCATCAAATTCAATTTTGGCTTGGGAATGAACTACCTCCTGCACAGCAGCACCTGCAGCTGTCCTCAACCTTATTTGTTGCAAATGTACAAGTGGATGTGGGAACAGATGTGGCTGTCGAAAGTCAGAAATAAGTTGTACAAGCATTTGTCACAACTGCCATGGCGATTGCTTGAATGGTGTTACTTCCACAGTCGAAGAAGACTTAGATGACTCCGGATGACTCTGATGATCCTGATATAATATATCTTGAAGAAACAGAGCATTCAGTGCTAAATACAAACACTGAACATTTGGTACATGAAGATCAAAACACTGTGTTTGCTGGACGCTTAACCAGAAGTCAGGTGAGATTGCATATTTGTTTTTTTTTGTTATACATTCACCTTGCAATAGTGTACATAAATCTGTCGTCATGTTCATACGTTGTTTTACTGCTCGCTCAGCTACTTTCTTCTATTCACATGTTCTCATTTAAATAATGGTTCTCTCACATCATCATCTCTTTCATAGTTACTTCTTTTCAGCCAGCAAGTTCGAAAGCTGACCAAGATGAGCAGATTGCAGGGCCTTCTACTATGAAGAGTTGATAGATTTTTCTGCACACAATTTTCCTTGGAATATCCTCAGCATTTTTTTGTTCTTGTATTTCACGTATTAATATATATCATGTCCCTCTTTTCAAATAAAGCTGTGAAGTTTATTTCCTCAATCCTCAGAAAAATTGGTAAATCATTGTCAAATCTTATTAGAAATGCCATATTGTACCAGCGCCAGCGTGGATTTATAAAAAACGCTATCTTTAGCGCCCTATAACTCGGTAACCATTAGGAGTACAAGAAAACTGTTGATGATTATTTTTGATGCAAATTTAATAAGCTTCAATTATGTATATGATGAACCTTCACCTCCGACCAACGGTTCTCGAGATATTGACGAAAAACAAAAAAAGTGCCCTGTTTCCGCCAATTGCCGCTAGAGCTCGCATCATATTCATGAGGACTTTTGGTATATTCATCCCTAGGTACCTTTAAATAGGTGTGCAAAGTTTCAAAACTTTCGGATTTTTTAGGAGGTCAAACCTTGTTTCGACTGGACTATTAGGTTACATAATACGAACTTCAAACTGGGGGAAAACAAACTGTTGTCTATGGATAAAGTGCATAGACTACATTGCATTTTAGTGAACAGTGAACGGAATTTTGACGAGCAAAGAACAGCTAACAATACCCAGATTGCCCTGCTTTGCAGGAACAAATACAAATTCATTGTTCTACAGGAGTTCCTCTGGACCCCAACTTCAATTTTACTCCATGTGGGGAAGATTTTATCGCCGAAGTTTGTAGACAAAGTGCAAAAATGTGCCTTTTGTTGAAGTCTTCTGCCTCACACAAAATCACATGATTAGCACGGAGAACTGCTTCTCCTTCCACTACTGGTCGGCTTTTTCCATCTAAATAGAGCAAAATATCTGCCAAAAGAACATCTACAATAGGCGTTTTCGATCGAATATTGACAATTAATGTCAAGAAATGTAAAAACTTATCACTCTCATCAGTACACAGTACACAAGCTAATGGCACTAATTGCCTGATTGGATTGAGTAAGGATTGAGTTTGTTTTCCCCCAGTTTTAACGTGGCTTTGACATGGAACGATGAAAA